GGGGTGGTGGGGGGGGAAAAGCATTTTCTTAGCCCAAAATGATTAACTTAGGTTAAAATACAGTAACTTGAGTTATACAGAGACCCATTCTGGAATTTCCACTGGGTCTATCTGAAGCAGCAAACTTCAGTAGCCTTGTCCCTTGTCTTCATTGCTATTTTAACCTCTGCTAGCAAGCCTGGGCCAACCACCCACATTTAGAGACAACCTTTATTTGCAATATAAACAATATCCATGTCACAATGGATAAAGGGCAGACCAGGGCGATTTCATATGGAAAAAGACAACTGCTTTTGCCAGCCATTGTTTCCTAATAACCACCTGTCTTCTATTAGTGTCCTAAACAAGGAGGTGGGATATATCTTAGGGTGGAGGGTGGGTCTAATGACAGCCAGCAAAAAGGAGCTGAAGGGAAGGTGGACCCTGGTTCCATGTGCACTCTGCTTGGCAGGGAGGACCCTGTGTGCTGAAGAGAGAGGCTCCACTTTCATCTACATGAAGGGAAACCAGAAGTAAAGGTTCCTTTCAGGAGGGATAAGGGGTCTCCTACAGAGAGCATTTAAGCAACAGACTGGGAGGGAGAGGACATCAGACCATGAAGGGTGTCCATGCGATGACTTGCTTCCCAAACACAGAGTGAACAATCTTGCACTTAATTTAAATACAAGTGATGAGTTGTAAGAGTGGTGAAAATGGCAAATAAATTCTAGGAAATTGCATATAAAGAGGAATCATTGTTATTAAATCATTTAGGATGGATGTGTTTCAAATCTAGTTCACAGTTGAAATTGGTTTACAGCTATAGCTGTGGAGTTTTAACAAAATTGCAGAATCGCAACATATCTGCCAGGGATTTATTTTAAGGATTGTAGGGTGGTTACATAAATGAACCTCAACAGACTCAACATGTTGTTGTGATCTGAACTCTTCAGTGATTTCCACTGCAGTTATGTATGCAAGAACCAACACATGCGTATTGGTGTGCATATATGCAAACACATGAGACAGGGAAACTGCACACACATGTGCAGGCTTATTCCCCAGCTCCACGGGCAGGCTTTCTACAAACTGCTCCTACAGGACAATGATACAATTCCTTAACATTAGCATCATGGTATTTCTTTTCACTTCTCCCTAGAGATCTCTTGTTTCCTCTGATCTGCCTCCTGTCTGTATCAGAAAGGAAAGACTATACTGCCCAGCACACTCCTGGTACTTGATCTCACTCCAAGCTTTGGGTGCTAATCCCACCCCCTCTGTACTGCCTGCCTCTCCTCTTGGTGCATGTGTTTGTGTGCGTGTACAGACATGCACATCTGCTAGTGACAGCCCTGCACTGGCTGCTTTCCCTGACCTGCTCCGTACAAGAAGGGAACAGGACTCTGGCCCATAGCTGGCTCCATAGCCCAGCTGCAAACATCAGCTCCCACTCCTTTTTCTCCACAAACCATATATTGCATTTCTACTTTAAACACATCTCTACATCAACTGTCAGTCTAGAAGTCCAAAGACCCCAAGTCAAAGTCCTTGACTTAGTGTAGACCCTACAACTACCTAGCAACAAGTAAAACCATCAATGTGTTATCATCATTACTCTGATATTAAATCCAAACACAGCACTATACCAGCTACTAGAAAGAAAAATAACTCTGTCTCAGCCAAAACCAGGACAGGAGGACATTCTCCACTGGAATTTGGCTACTGGGGCACTGGGAGACAGAAAAAACTGCAAAACCTGTTTTTTTTCTTTGCCTACTTCTAGCAGATAGCTGGAACATTTAAGAATATTCATCCCAAGCATGAACACTGAGCACTTCTGAAAACACTGGTTCTACACAAGCAGAGATCAAACTTCTCAAATAGCCTCAATGGTTTTAGAAATGCCTCTTGACACAGATACAGCTGTTAACTCCTCAGCTCTGGCGGGGCAGGGCACATGCTAAGACCCACTTGACGGCCTCAACAGTTCTCCTTGACTGCAGGGATAAGTCACACAGCAGAATGCTCTTGCTGGTCCATGGGAAAGACTGCATGCCCTTATGGACACAAACATTATAACCATTTCTCTTTCTTGAAAGATCTCTAATTAATCAGTAATGTTTCAATGGAAAAATGGCCACAAGCCCTACCAGCAATTATAGAAATGTGTTTTGTTTTATTTAATGCATAAGTACAAGCTTTTTAATGAACAGAAAGTGATGATGCACTGGCAGGACAATGGGGAAAATGGAGGAAAGGATACTGAAAGCTTTGAGCACTGCTCTCCTCTCTGCTGTCTCACTCTGTCTCTCTCATACATTTGCCCTCTCTGCCTGTGGTTCCACTGTGGAAGCCATATGGCTTCTAACTCTCTTTTAAGTAGCCACTGAGAATTGTCTACAGTGGAATATTGCCAAAGCCCTTCCTGGTTTAATGACATGGGGAAGAGCGCTGTGCAGTGCTCACCCAGCACAGAGACTCACTGCGTCCTTGATTATGATCCTGGAACCAGCAAGTGATGCTGGGAATTGAACCATCAGTGCCTCAAATACAGAAGTCGACATGTGCCAACCCCTGCTGCATTCAGCCTCTGTGTGTGGCATATTAATGAGTCTTGAACTTGAGGTCCAACCTTCAAGCTTGCAGAGAAGGAACTACCCAAAGACAAAAAGAAAAGGTCCTTTTTGTCCTGTTTCCCTCTAACCTTGCATAGTGATACTAGTTTCTTCACTAAGTTTGTTCAGTCCTTAAGCTGTAACTTTTTTTTTTTTTTAGGCCATCACATCATACCTCTGCATACATAACCACAATTTCACTTGATTTAAAGATTTGAAAAACTAGCTTGAAAAGATACTCAGACCACACACATTAAGCCAAGAAGGTGTATGAGGGGACAGATGACTCCATACTAACCCTCATTCTCACATCCTATCTATAAATACCTGCTAAATATTGGAGTCAGGATATGGAGCTAGATGGAGCTTTCTTCTGCCTATTTTATGTCCCATGACACTGTATTGCAGGAACATGTGGTCATCAGTGTGGTAACAGTCTGAATCAAAATGCAAAAGAGGAGGGTGCTCAGCCTCATGGCTGCATTCCCATGCCAGCACAAAAGAGCATTGCGGGGGACCCCTTCAGTGCCATGGGTGTCAGAAATGGAGCCCAGTACCGGTGGAAGTTGGTGATACACTACACCCCCCAGCTACATAACCCAATTTGGAATTGCCTGGGCATCTTTTACTTGAATTTTGTCATTTAGAGGAAAGCCATGGCCATCTATAGGTCAGCTGGAACATTGGGTTCAGGGAAATTTTCCATTATTTCTGTTGGCCTTGCAAATGCCTGGTGCATAATGAAGGCTGATCTCTTATTTTCTAAGAAACAATTTTTCTCCACATGTATATTTGGCAGCAGAAGCATGATACAGATGCAAAAGCCCATACAGAAGGATGCTCTCTTTCTTTGGAAAGGGTTGTAACTCTGAAGAGAAATTTGACAACCTATGAAAGCTGTGTCCTGCTGCAAATCTGTCCAAAAGTCAGAGAAAGGGACAGCTTGTAGTGGGTGAACAGAGCCAATGTAAAATGTAACTCTCCAGGACAGCATGTTTCTCTGGTGGTAAGAGAGAAGGACAACGCATCATTGACCCTGAAACCACAGCCTACAGCCTTCCTAAGCAAAGATAAAAGTCTTAACAAGCCTGTAAAAGAATCACATACTGAATTTCATTTCTGTCAAGAAACAAAACAAGATACAACATTCATTAATTCTTCTCACCTTTGAAACATTTTAGAAATTTAACTAATCAAAGCCCACAACAATCCCTGATGAAACCCTACTTACAGCTCAGGAAGCTAAGGAAGAAAGGTCACAAGATTCACCCAGTCGCAAAGGCTATACTGGACATGCATTATTTGAGGGATCTGGCCTGAGGCATCAAAGCCCAATTTATTCTATGTCTCAGGTCTGCAAATTCACATCTTCCTTTCCATAAGTCAAAGGAGGTGTTCTTCAAATATGCTCTCCTAGCCTATTTGACTGCCCAACTCACTAACGGCCATGATGCTAGAGCAGATACAACACATGGTGGCAGCTGGTCACATACAGTGACTCCAGCCCATGCATGCTATTGCTCAGTGTTTCTGAAGCAAAGAGCAACGCTTTTTCAAACACCTCACTTCTTTCTTCAGTATATCACAAAACTCACCGCAAATTCTTGCCAGAGAAAGTACAGTATGGCAAGGTAGCAAGAACAGATGTGAGCGCAGACCCAGACAGCGTTTTCACAGTAGAAGACAGAAGTACTAGAAGCCCATGTGAACTATTCTGTTTCTTCCTCAGCTTTTACTTGACAGAAATATACAAAAAAACAAACCACCTCCCACTAATTTTGATGGAAAGGAACATCAAATCACTTCACTACATATTGGTCTAATTATTTCAGCAATCCTGAAATAAAGCAGTATATAATCATTGTTACCTTAAGCCAATACATGGTGCAGCAGCAGTGGACACACATTCCCTGAAGATCCAAATAACTCGATTTTATCAATGGCAAAATTCTCAAAATTATAAGGGCAAGTACCAAAACCAAGAAGCATCATTCTTCTATGAGTAAGCTGCTCAGGTTCCAAAATACCAACCAAAAAGGTGCTCTTTGTTAAGTATTTCAGACCACAGAGTAATATTTGCTTTTAAGGCAGGCAGGAGCTGTTTGAGTTACTGTGACTCAAAGTCGCAGAAGTCTCATAAGCCTACGCTGAAAGTTGCTGATTGAGCTCCATTGGTCATGTCTCTGTTTCAGCTTAGCTGGGTTGGGTACCAAACCAGGACCGTTATATTTACAGAGCCTTGCACTTTCAGACAAAAACATGCAGTAACCAGCTTCGCCATATTTAATAAAGCAATAAACTTTGGCTGACCTTTGGCAAGCGTTCGGGGTCACCAGGGTGGCGGGGGATAACCTTCTGTAACCTTTGGAAACCATAGTCAATGGTGGGTTCGTTCAGAGCTGAAACAACAACAAACAACATCGTGATGTGACAAACGCATAGCAAGCAGGCTCCGCTGCACTGTAACAATCGGCAATGTATTTGCAAGACCAAGGATCACAGCAAAATCCCCTTTTACTGAAATCAGCACTGACTATGAAGTCTCGGTTCAAACACTGTTTGAGGTTGGTTCTGAGGCTTTGGTTCAAACAGCAATGCAAACCTTCCCACTCGAGCTCCTAAAACAAGGTTGCTGGAAAATTTGGAGATGTTGCATACATCTTACAAATAGGAAGCAATTATTATCTCTGAAAGCTATGATGAAATTAATTTGATAAATACTTTGCACCCCATGTTTTATGTTGGGTTTTTTACCTGCTTTCATATTACAAGGAATCTTTGTGATTGGAAGACAAAAGAAGTAACTATTAGGGAGTCTCTCTTGTTCCAGATTCTGTTATACATTTAATATGCTCCAAGTGCAATGATCACCTAAAATTTGTTGTGAACTACAGGCATTTGTCTTGGCAGAGACTTTATTTTTTACTCAGCAACATTGACTTCAGCAGCCCAGCTCAGGCTCCGATCAGAACGAAACTGATCCAAAAGACTTAATGAATTAAAAAAAAAATTAAAAAATCTATGTTTTTAGTTCATCTTTTCCCAATCCCCATCCAGTAAAATAGAGGAGAGAAATGGTGGACGTGGAACACTTTAATCTTCATGAAAACACTGATCTGCCTGCATTAATCGAAGCTCCGATTGTGCCAAGCCTTTAAGCACATGCTTATCTGTAAGCACATACTTAAACCCATTTGCTTTCAGCAAAGCAAATTTGAGCATATTATGTTTTTTATATGATTGCCTATAATTACAGGGGACTGCATTGAATGACCTTCTAGCTATATTTCCAGTCATATGATCACTTTAAAACTCAGATGTTAGTGAGACTTCAACATGTGCTTAAAATTTCCTAAGTGCTTTGGTGAACCGGAACAACAGTCAAGCATTCTCAAGCATCTCTAAACAACAGCGCATCTTGACTCTCCCATGCCAATAGAGATGATGAAATTTTCCACAGCAATTTGTTTGCAATTTTTCTAAGTTAAATAAAAAAAAAAAATCCAATATGGATTGTTATATTTTTATACTCTTTTTTTTAAGTGGGAAGGAATTTTTTTTCCCATTTTTGAGTCACTTTAAAGTTTTTCTTATTTTGTCTTAGCTTATTAACAACAAAAAAAAATAACTTTTGCACAAGGTCTGCCTATTAAATTATGAATATATCTTGCACCTTACTTTATGATGGTTTTATTTTGAACTTTATTACGTGGCTAGAATTATGCCATCCGATTCATGCAAAGAGATTTAGCATCAAACTCTATCTCCCAGTCTCACTTGTGTAAGTGCTCCCATGTGGCTCAGTGATCCCACTGCAAGTTATACAGCTCCATCAGTCCGACCAACACGGCACAATTTGTCCATACGTCCATCTTTTAAGCGAAGAGAACACTTTTTCATACTCCTAATGTTAAAGATCTTTAGCCAGACCACATTGTTATCATGAAAGTAGTATCTAATCCCTGGCCTGTTTTTAATTAATTGGTGTTCCATAAACAATCCCACAAAACAGTCCAGTTTTTAAGGAAACTGTTCCATTTAAATTATTATTTTCAAACCACATTTCTACAGCAGATGGTCCAACTGGCAACCAAAGGGCCAGATTTTTATATCCTCCTGGACCTCCAGTACATCCCAACTCCACAAGCAGTCCCAGGGATGCTGCTGCAAATTGAGGCAGACGGAAGGTGGTGTAGGGGAATCCAGATCTACTCAACGGCCGTGAGAGAGGTGTGTGGCTGATGGGGACTGGCTGGAGGGGCACACAGTCCAGCAGAATCTCGACGTTTCTCTAATACCAGAAAGGAAACTTCTGAGCATATCCTGAAACTACTGTTACAGTATTATGGTAACACCAGACTAGAAATCTTTCAGGATTTTACTTTCTGGGCTACTGTCAGAAGTTTTCCCCAAAGATCGTGGTATCCCTCTAGTCTCCTCGAGGTGTGGGGCGGTGGGTGTCATGGATTTCCCTTTATCAGGAATATCTGAATTTGATCTTTTATTTATATTCAGGTCATTGTATAGAAAGGGTGAGAATAAGGCTTTTCTCCTGCTTGTGCCCTTTTTGGTTTTTGGATGGTTGGGCCCTTTTTCTGTGTGTTTCCTTTCACACCCTGGTCACATGCTGTCCACTCTGTTGTGTAGCCTTGCAGAAAATATCACAGTCCTGTGTTTGTAAACTCCTGGTTTCATTACCTTTGAGTATCCTTACATGGCTTCTTATCATGGACTGGTTTAGTTTAGACCTTCAAGTTTTACAATAAATTAATTTACTGCTATTTATGTTTATTATAAAAAAATAGCTGTTCTCTGAGAAGATTAAAAAAAACCCCTCTACAGTTCTAATTTACATTTCTTTTGCAAATATGTTAGATGATTTTTAGCGTGGTTCTGTCAAATGTGTTTCTTCTCTAATTCAGTCTAGTTTATGGCCATTTTCCCTTTACATCCTTTGGGAAAGTAGTTACTAAATTCTGCAATATTATAAATGGAGGCCAGTTCTGAAATCCCCCCAGAGATAGCAGTCATTTTCTCATATCTTCCCACACATTCAACACATTTGAAATCCACAGAGTATTTCCTGTGAGTATTTTCTGAACTAAATGACCAAAAAAAAAAATGTTAATTTTATGGTCCAATCTCACAAAGCATCAAGCATCCTCTGAGAGATACTGAAAACTTTCTGCTTCAAATAGCTTCAGCTTTACTTTAGCGGTGGGGAGAGGCTGCACACAGCAATTTGCAGGATTGGGTCCTAAACTGTAGTTGTCAAATATCACTCATTAGTCTATAACCGTTCAACCCTTTCAATCTTAGATAAAATGAAAAAAAAAAAAAAAAAGACATCTTTAGCTGCCTGAACATCTAACCACAGATTTGGACGGTATCAGCCCTTCATTCCTCAGTTCATTTATAATCCAAGTCAAATGTAATTTGTCATATCTCAAAGACTGAGCCCCATTTAAATATTTCACCCCACTTTCAGCGTTAAGGCCACACCAATTCCAGGGTCAATAGCTGGCAAAACTGCAAAGAAAAGGTGATATTCTGATCTTCAAGCACTGCAGAAGAGCCAGTGCTCAGGCCACCTCTCTAACCAGCTGGTTAGATACCAGCTTTGCCTCTGCCCCCAGGATGTGTGAGCCTGGTCTCTGCCTTTGAAGTCCATTCACAATAACGCATTTCCCAGTGCTCTAATTCAAAGAACATTTTTTTTCCCCATGATTGGAAAAAAAGAATCAATAAGGAATACAAACTCTCTATTTGTGTTCTTGACATCCATACATTAAAAACAAGCTAACACATCCTGTACTTAAAATGCATTCCCATTACCCTAAATTTTAAAAGTACTATTGAAAGTACTACTAACTTTAAAAAACTGTATTAAATTCAAATAGGTCCCAAGGCTAATGGAAGCAATTTGTATACCAACCCAAACTGACTGGCCCACTTTTCAAAATACAGGTATGATAATCTTGTGGTTTTAAAAGGACATTTAAATTGAAAGACTGTGAATTTAGTACATAATTATACCAATAGAACCCTTTAACTTGTCAACTTGTAAATCTAAAAGGCTATCAATCATTTCTAAAGAGGAAATAAACCTTAAAATTCTTTGATTGACAGTGCTTACTTTTTATGTGAAAAAAAAAGGAGTAAAGTGGCCAGAAATCCATTTACAAAAGTACATTGTTGTACATAGGTGAGTAAAAAGCCAATAATTACACCTCCAAAAGACATATAAATCAAAGTAAGTACTTTTCCCTCACTTACATATTTTAAGTTGCAGTAAACTTCAGGTAACTTTTTATTAAAATACTTTTCCAAATGCAAAGCTTATTGAAGCCATTAATAGAGTAGCATTTTCATTTAAGCTAATATAATCATTTTTGCAAATACAAGATTTAAGCCATTTTTCTCCTTCCAAACAATAAACTTTCAGCCTGTCTCTTGTGTGAATTAACTAAAATTACACCCAGGTGTACAAAATCTGTCTATCTATCCTAGTGTATGAGTTAAGGCACAATATTTATTATTCTTACCATTTTATGAATTACTTCTTAAACCCTTGAGGAAGAACTTTCTTTCAAATTAGACTCTAACAGAATAAGCCATGAAGCTCTTTATGCAGCAAGTCTAAAGCCATAACTCATAAAATCTAAGGCTTTTAATCAAGAAAATGCACAATGTCTATGGAAATAAGGATGCGTACATTATATTCGTCTTTTCAAAGTCCAACTTATTTTTCAACAGAAATGCTGCTTATGCCTCTGAGAAAAATGTTTCCACCATAACTACAATTTCAAATTCTGCACAAATAATATTAATAACTACATGTAGATAATCTACCATCTTTAAAAGTCTCTCTTTTTTTTAAACTAGTCTGTGGAGGGCTTTTTTTAATATTTCACATAATGAATTCCTACTGTGTCAATAAAGCTTTGGTTGTTAATTGAATGACTGTCTGATGTATCTGAGAGAGGAATTTGTTTCTCTGGCCATGCTGCCAACTTACAGCAGAATGATCGACACTTAATATCAGCAATTAAAAGGACCTGTTCAAATATCATATGGAATTCGTAGCTTGGGGTAGTGTAGGAGAAGTCTTCACCGAGGAAAACTCATTCAGCGAATACAGCGAGTAATTGAATTAGACACATTTTAACATTATTATTCAAAGAAAAATAAACACACACTACATAGAAGCATTATGGAAAAATTTCAGAATGTAAAACATATCCAGTTAATTTGTTTCCCATGCATTCATGGTTTCATTTATTCCTTTTATTTTTCAGCCCTTGTTTCTTTTTCATTCTGTTTGACCCAAAACCAATGAGAAAGCAGCACTTAGACCTATGAACTTCCCATATGCTTTTCCAGTGGAAAAGGCTGCAAGGAGAGGGAAGGGACTCTAAGGG